AAATGACACAGTACACTACTACTGAAAATTGCTTACTTGCTCATTTTACCATATGATTATAAAATAAATTTCAACCCCCCCAGATTGAGAAACGCTGATGTAGTATATAGAGCAGTATAAACAAGTCATTGTCTGTATGAAATTTTAGTTTGTACTGACTTCAGTAGTGCTTTTTCTGTAGCCTATTGTAAAACTAAGCAAATATCTAGATAAGTTGATATACCCCCTGGAAGACCTCTGCGTACCCCTAGGGGTACGCATATCCCTGGCTGAGAGCCACTGATCTAAACCAATCCAATTAAAATCAACCCCATCATTACTATTTTTCTTGGTATGTTGATTTTAAAAAGTTACCAGCATCTTCATACTAAACTATATATGTATTTGTTCTCAACAATAACACAGAGTTTAACAGACTTGAAAGTGGCAATTCTTCAACAAAAAAACTTCAAAAACAGACTTCAACGAGAAACTGCAGAACTGGAATTAATCTGCAAACTTGGCACCATCAAATTAGGCCTGAATAAAGACTGGGAGTGGCTGGATCACTACAAAAAATAATTTTCCCTCTGTTGATACTCAGCCCTTCTTGTCAACTGTTGGAAATGGGCCACATCCATCCTAACTGAATTGGCCTCGTTAGCACTGACACCCCACTTGGTCAGGCAACTCCCATCTTTTCATGTGCTGTATATTTATACTTGCTTACTGTATTTTCCACGCCATGCATCTGATGAAGTGGGTTTTAGCCCATGAAAGCGTATGCCCAAATAAATTTGTTAGTCTCTAAGGCGCCACAAGGACTCCTCATTGTTTTTATTTAATGACAGTAGACGTTGAGATTCAAAAAGTTAAAGCTTTATAACTGCTGAAACACAAACTGTCAACATTAGATGTCAAAATTTTTGCCTTAAATCAAATTCTTAAGTTCTCAGGCAGCATTTTTCTTTCTATGACTATCTGTAAAATTGATTATTATCGATGGAAATTGTTTTTCTTCCGTTTGTGTGTTTATGATGAAGTTGATGTTTAACAACATGTACCATTAAAAATCTAATCCTTCCAAGCCTATAAATAGCTCTTGCTTCATGAAAAATTATTTATTGCATCCTCATTTACAAATGCTTATGGAAAGCTGTCCTAACATCTAGTATTGAATTTTTATAATTAATCATTTGAGTGAAAAAGGCTTTCTCTTGTTACTTGGGAGTGATCTAAATGGATATAAACAACAATGAAAAGAAAGGATACACAGAGCTGCAAATATATATTTGAACAAAAGAGAACATATTAGCGATAGACATGTTATAGATATTGCTATCAAATTTCTGAGACTATCAGTAAGATTTAAGAACAACCCAATGAGTTTTCAATCATGTGCATTGTTTTTAAATCGGAACCTCTTTTGGAAGGTT